GAGCTATACTGGCTGGAACATATGTTCCTGAAGGTTCTACTTTGCCAAGCAGATCAAATGGAGAACAATGAGACTAAAAGCAGCTACCCAAGGTCTGAGGGCGAAGTCGTACTGCTGACTACTGCAGAGTGGTGTGACAGCAGTAAGGTGTTTCCCTCGGACAACCAGCATCTGCAGCGATGCTGCCTTCTCACAAGGAAGGAAGGGTTAGAAAAGGTCGACCCTAAAAATGTCACACCTGCCCTACCTCACGGATTTCCGTCTCCGTCGGTAAGGGTGCCTACTAAGGGCCTTTAAGAACGGAGCTAATACTCAAGAAACATTTCATCAAAATGCCGTGTGTGACCGGCCTCAAGCAGTTGTCCCTTGGGCTCTGCAATCACGCACCCAGATCTCTAAGACCAAAATTAATCCATATTCCTTTTCAGGTTTCTCAAGAAACAGCCTTCCACGGTGTGGGCAGCCGGGAAGTGACAACCACCCTCATACCCGTAACAACACGCGAGACCAAATTGGTCAAAATCAAATCCTTCCTGACTGACTGTCACTCATCTTTGGTCACAAATATTTTTTCTGTTAGTTCAACGGCTATAACTATTTTTTTCATCCATAGTATTTTGGATAAACAAGAAAGAATATATGCTTCAGTTTACCGCAACTCAAGGTCATTTTTTTCTGCATTCAAAGTTGGTTTCAGATGTTAGATCTTCGTTAATGACAAAAAATTGGATACTTTTCCTCATTGCGAAATTTCTGGTTTTGCATCCTAACCAAAGTTATCATTTGGAAATTTAGTGACAGTTATACAAACATTTTATTTACTCCTTCAGTACAACCTGTTATATGAGAACGATGACCAGAAAGAACTGGATTACGTTGTTCCGTCTCTAACTCCTATTATATCTGGAAGATTGGTCAGAGATTGTCAAAGTTTAATTCACTTAATATCTTAAATTAAATAATCTTAATCATACTGGAGATTCGAAATCAAAACCGATAAATCTTATAATGTTACTCTATCCATTGTTACAATCACTGAATTTTAACTTGGGTCGTTTAAAGCGAAAGGTACGAGGTTCTTTGTCCAATGTGAACATAGACACTGGACTTGAGTACATTCAGCTGATGAGTCTTAAACAGGACGAGACTTTCTTAGCGAATTCTATTACTGACCACAGTTTATTGATTCTAAATGAAAAACTAAATATTGGTTATGTAAAACTGTTACGCTCGTCTCTAGGTTTGCTTAAACTATTACGGGTTCACCTTCGTCGATTAACGAGAAACAAAACAATGAACCAGCGTTCAGGTAGACTGCTGTGATCCCTTGACCAAAAGATATCAGCAAGAAGTCTTGATATAGTGTAGAAAGTGTATTCTACAAACACCCAGCCAGCAGATAATGAATCCAAACACTCAAATTGCGTTTATTTATACTCAATGGGGACGTCCTTGGGACAGTCACAAAAATAGCACACCGAAATGACACAGTAACCAATCACAGCCAAGGATTTCCTTGGTGGGAAATGTAATCTCAAGGTCATCTGATCGGTCCATGAAATAAATCCAAAATAAAGATATTTATCAAGCGAGTTCTAGGAATCTAACATCCCCAACAAAAATCACTTAAAATATCGGAAATCACTATTCTTCATAATCTTTCATGATAAACACGCAACTTAAAAGCTGAATTAATAAACTGAAATTATAACGACGCTTGTTCTTATGATTCATGTAATAATTTAGATATTTTGTTTTTATTCTCTAAAAGAATTATAGGGTCATTATTTCATAATTATCAATCATTGATATTGTCTAACTGTTTAACTGTCTACTGAATCTTATCAGTCATCTGTATAATAAGCGTTACTGATCTGAGTTTTGATAGTTAAATGAAAAATTCCAGCTGAGAGAACGAAACTCCACCACAACCATCCACCATCTCGAAAAAATCCCAGTTTAAATAATGTTGACTGATGAAAGGAATAGCTTTTTATTGAAACCCTACGGAGAATCACATTTCACGGGGTGAGTGAAAGAAAGCAGACTATTTGTAGCTCAGGCGTATGATTATGGTGATGTGTCGTTCTCTGAGCTGGATGTTTTGGTTGTGTAGCTTTCATTGTTCTTCTGAACTTCAGATAGAAGTCTGAAGTTTGTGCTGATGATGTTGTTCAGAAGAACAATGAAAGCTCCACAACTAAAACATCCAGCTCAGTGAATGAAACACCACCACAAACCAGCCTATTACTGATTATTCACAAAAAATAACTCAAAGCTTAAGTGAATAAATTCCTAACCATTTCATATTATTACCAAACACTATGTTATTCAGTTATATTACACTTCATATCTATTTCACGGTTATTTTAAAAATAAAATTAGGAGTTAACAAAGGAAAAGGAATATAAGGGTAATGCAACTGAAAATTGAAATCAATTATGTTCACTGCTAATAAAGAATACACTTTTTTCAATTTCTGTTTAAAAGTATATATATATATATATATATATATATATATATATATATATACTGTTCGAGTTTTAGTCCACTTACTAACCAATAGAAAACGACTTACCAGTTGACCTTTTACAATACTGTGATACTAGACAACTGAATAAGCTGTATTATTGTTTTTAATTATTAACTGTCTTTAAAAATGAATCAACAAGTTCGAATAATTAACTGAGGATCATGTCTATACATGATTGGTAGAGACAAGTTATGGTCATTGAAAACTCATACAATAAACCAAATAAAAAAAATTAAAATATAGTGGTCAACAAATTGCATATAAATATTCAAACATATAGTGAGTGTTAGTAAACAATTTTATCCAAAAACATCATGAAGTTTCTAGTATGTGTCCTAATGACGATGCTTTTATTGACGATGAGAATTGATAACTGTAAGTAATGAAATAAGATTTTTATCATTAATATATTTAAAGAAACTAGCAAATAACTTAAGGGAATGCATAAGATATATTTTTTTCCTCTTTTGGGTATGTATCACAACAGTAAAATGTATTTATTTGCTTGGGTAATATCTATCACATGCTGTACTCTTGAAGAATCTTAGGACAAGATAAATTAGCCGTCTGATAACTCCTAATTCCTAATGGTTGTTTAGTTAAGATCAGGATAGGATGTAAAGTAGAAACTTCGCATTCTCCATCAACATTCGAAAAGTCTAATCAGAGTAAGACTGACTGTATAACAAACAATATGAATGAAGCAGATAAGCTAACGAGCTCATCTAAACTTAAAAAAACATTGGGAAATTTTGAATTTTCAGTAATTTAATTATGTTTGAATTCATGTTTTGAAATGTGTACTATGGAACCTCAACTAATAAATTACTGTTTCTATGGTCAGTGGTGTATATGTATTCGGATTTATTACGTATAGTTTTAGAAAATGTCAAATATTGACCCTGCTGTAGGTTCTTTTCAAGTTGTCATTTTAACATCATGTTGAGAAAATCACTTATTTCACAAGTGTCATTCGGTTATATAGTATTATTTGATCTCCTGCAATTAAACAAAAACATTCTATCGCCAAAGCTTTACCTGAGGGATATAAACATTTTCTCAGAATCAATAAGATATTGCCTCACTTTTAAACTTAATACTATTTGATAAATGTCTTCTGAAACATAAATTGAATATTTACATATTAATGTTCACTAAAAACTGTAAAATCATAAGGCAGTCAGCAGCTGCTCCGTACAAATTTAAAACTTAATAGCACTAATAGCCGATCATCTCACTTAAAATTAAACTCACAATTAATCTGAACTTGCTTACTCTGTTCACGGACATGTTTGACTTACTGCCTTGATTTTGAATTTCACTAGTTAATAGAAATCATCAGAAAGCTGTCGAAAATAATGTATCTCAATCAATCAATCAACAGCATCGTAGAACTTCGTACATGCGTACATCAGTTCATGTTGCCATACCACATTAGCACAGAGAAGTAACTACAGATTCAAATTCCATAGTAGTAGAGGTAGTAAAGGTATTAGCAGTAATCAGAGAGATTAGGGTTTAAAGATATTATTCAAGAAGGAGAATCTAGTGAAATAAACTTAAAAAGAAATATATAAAGTGAGATGAGTAATTAAGAAGGTTAGGATTTGAGAGAACACAAAGAATGAAAGCACCTGAGCCATTGCAAACGGTTTTGAGCCATGTCATTCAACGTCTCTAACCATCTATTTCTATCATCATGCCCCAACCACGTAGTCGACACCTACCAAAATGACTCAGTCCGGGTTGTCAGTGACTTCATGGATTTGTACCATGTGTTGGTTTGGCCGCCCCTAACTTTCTTCAAACCTATTCCTACATCGCAAAACATAACTTGATGAGGCAGTCGGTGGTTAGGCATACATACATGGTAATCACAATGATCTTATTGAAAAAAGAATGATCTATTGTGGACATTTTTTATTACCACCTAAATGAGTTTTATTTCTATTTGAGATTTTTAGACTTAAGTAAATTTAGAACCAAACATCATTCAACCATAGTGAAATTCTCTTTGATAGCTAAGTTACTACTTTATTAAGTATTTATTAATTCTCAGTATTTTTTTTAAAATCCAAACAACACATACAAATAAACATGACTGTTGTGAATTAGACATTTATCCAGCTTTCTTCTATTAAAACAAGAAATTTTTTGTTCATAAATATATGTATCCAAATAAGAATTGACATAAGAATAAAGACTGATAAAGATTTCATTGAAAACAATATTATCATCTACTTACATGTCTTTAATGTAATTGTCACAATTGGAATTTGCATTACGGGGTTGTGAAGATTGTTAAGTTACACATTTTTGAAACCATGAACCGATCAATGTTAGACCACCATTAGAAACCTGAAAGCACTGGACGGCCGTTTCGTCCTGGTATGGGACTCCTCAGCAGTGCGCATCCACGACTCCTGCACCCCGCAAGAGTGTTCATATTTTTAAAATTATTAGTCTAATGAGAAATCATTATTACCGATTGATTTCCTATTCATATAAGTAAGTTTTTGTTAAAAAAAAATAAGTCATATTGAAAATGCATAGCTTGTGTTTTTTTGTCGACCTAAAGTGTTTTTCAATGGTAATTAGTCATAATGAGGTACAGTATAATTCTAATTGACTATGTTATATATAATAAAAACATTATTGTTTTACTAGATGTTATTATTCCTATAACAAATTTCCGTATATCATTATTACAGCTGTATCGATTAATTGTTTCACGTGTAATCCATGTCCAACACCATTTAATCCCAGATCCAATTTAATTCTAAATAAAACAAACTGTAGATGGTGTGCTGTAAGTTGAATTTGTTTATAATATGGATTCAATTATCAATTAATTTTATTGATCTATTCGTTCGACAAGATAAATAAATTCTAAAACAGGTTACAAATACAACATATTTTACTGGATGAAAGTTAACTAAACAAGAGAGAAAGATATGAACAATCACTTACACATTTTATTTATAGTGAACTAAGGTTTTTCGTATGAAATTGTTTGATAGAAACAGATTTTATAGTATTGCAGTTGTCATTGTCATTGTAAATAAAAATTCGTTTGTAGTTATGATGACACTTAAAAGCATTGTTTTATGAAAACTTATTTCGCAAATAATATTTGCTCATAACCCAGTCAACCAATAGAATAAAGAGAAAGAGTAAGAATAAGCAACTTTGTCTGATACTGGTCTTAACTTCCATTGAGTCTGTGACTTGTCCTTCATCTCTCTCATACAGTTGATTTTTATCAACTTCGTTGTTATCGTTTGTAGGCGCATAGCGCTAAGTGACATCCATCGTAATCTCCTCTTTCTTTGCCTTGAAGGATGATTTAATGATCTTGGGTCCATGATATTCCCAACTTGTGGTTCTTTTTATGCTTCTTTGGATAGCATCGGTGCAACTTCTTGTGTGTGAGGCATTTTCTTCTTCATGGCCGTAGTAGTACAGCATCTCTGTTGAAGTTAGCCTAATTTGTCCAGCCTGCGTCAAATACGTATCACTTATTCCAAGAACCACCAGTTTGTATACTTTCATTTCAAAAGCAACTCGAATAGTTCTTTCAGTCTTCCACATTGTGAGAACATTCAATGTACTCATAATAATTGTCACTGACCTCGTGACTTTTGAAGAAACTCAGCTTTCATTACGAGGAGTCATAACTCTTCTAAGACGTTCCAAATGCCCAGGGTAGAGTTCAACTAGTCTAAAGTTATTTTTCCTGGTTAGCGTTTTATTAATAGGCTGGTTTTTTATGAACTCCGCTTAGGGCCCTTTTAGGGTTACTGCCCGTTCAAAGCCTGGATGAACGATAAGGATTAGGCATCAAGTTAGCGACCCCAACCTGTAGAAAATAAACTAGTTAAACTCTGCCGTGGCAGTTGGAAGGTCTTAGAAGAATTATGACGCCTGATGTTGAAAGCCGAGTTTCTCCAGAAGTTAAGCAGACATCAAAAGTATGAACAGTATTGGGTAGAGCTGGATAGGAAGACCCAGGACAGAGTCGGCTGAAGAATGCCAGTTGGCGGTTATTAGCAGTAAAAGGCATAAGTAAGTGGTTTTCTATGGAATGCTGTAGGATTTAATTTGTCCTACAGATGTACTCCTAGAACGGTAAACGCAATATTGACGAGCACAGAGTCTATGGGAAAGCCACAGTTAAAACACGATCAACTTTGCTTTAAATTTTATCTGTTTCGACCAATATAGCGTGTCTTATGGAAATGAATCAAGTTATGAGTCACATCAATATAATAAGATAATAGTGTCCTTCAATGTGCAGGTGATTTACAACAAAGAAGGTTTACAGACATGTCAGATCAGATCACGTGATGGACGCTTAAACCACAATTTGATTGGTTAGTTATGACATAACTACAATTAGTTATGAAAATAACTAACAAATGCCTAAAAACCTTTTTTATCTGGGCTTTGGACTGCTAGTAACCTTAGAAGAGCTCCAGGCGGAGTTATTTTCTAAAGTTTCTTTCTAGTTATTTTCTAAACTTCATATTAGTCTAAATTGATAATTTACTAAGAATGATTCAAAATAATTGAAGAAAAATAATATTTGATTCTTATCACTTTTTCTAATCATTTTTACTCAACATCAGTTTTCTCATATTTTTTTAAAATTTTTCTAACAGAAAGTTGAACCTACTGGTTTACCATTTGTATTAAGAGATTGTGTTGATAAATGTGAATCGAATTCATGGTTCTATTTGTTCAATAAATATTCTTATAATTGTTGTACAAGAGATTATTGTAATAAAACTTCAACAAATAATCCAACTTTACAAATGATTGTGATGTTAATTATTGCCATTTGTTTCTATATGAAAAAAACAAGTTCAAAAATCTAAAACAAAAAATTATCTAAAAAAAAAGTTATTTATTCAATAATTCACACTTGAATTTTTTGTTTTATTTTTTCCAAGAAGAATTATTGAACACTAGTTTTGTGCGACAGTGAAGATATATTTTTTGTCATTTAGAATGAGAATTTCGTAGATATTTTATTAGTCAGTTGTAAAGGATAACTGGTAAAACGTTCGTTAACTCCTAAAAACAATCTTATAAGTATACAGTACCAAAAGAAGCGGGCTAATTAAGATTTTTTAATTTACAAGATATTAATAAACTTGGGGATTAATTATAAAAGCTCAGTTCTTTTCAAAATATTGATATTGTCTAGGGAAGCAATGAAAGCTTAATGATTAAATCACTATAAACAGTAATAGCACTTGTCTACTTTAGCGAACATATGTATTGTAGTGAAGCAGAACGCAGGTGAGGGCAACCGAATTGTATTAATCGCAAATTACAGAGTTACTCAGTAAAATCGGAAAACCATATCGTAAATCGTTAACTTGCAAAATATCAATCCATCATATCGAACTGGACTGTTGTTCCTGTTGCAAAACATCGATCCATTGTCTGACATTTCACTGTTCATGCGTTTCATACAAATTCCATTGTTTTCTAACTCTTCCTTTCTTGATCTTCCCCTATCTTCTGTTGCCAGACATAACGTTTTTACTCGCGTCATATACTACTTATAAGTAGCGCGTACCACAGTATACTTGTGAATAGTGTTTCTTCTAGTAAATATATATTTGTATAATTATTGATAGATTGTGTCATTAGAACAAAGTATCACATTGAATGACTCAATTTTTTGATGTAAACCAAACAAACGTAGTTTTAAAATTTCTTCGATCTATTAAGTTATTACTTGTTTCAGTAATATGTATAAGTTTACAATAACAGAAAGTAGATTTAACTGTTAAAAAATATTGAATTTAATTATGTTAGTCTGAATCAGACAATTAAAGTCACCTAATATTTCAAATGTCAAAAGAAGGTAACGTAATAATGAAAAAGTTAGCGAAGAATAGCAGCCATATGAAATTGGGTTATTCTAGATTTTCGCAGATACTTTGATACTGCTAAACACCTAGATTCATCACTTGAAATCAAATACAAATACTACTACTACATATTGAAAGAACATTGACATTTCAAAAGAAACCTTTTTATATAAATATCAAATTTAAAAGTGATATGGTTGGCAAAATCTTGAATAAACATATTTCGAAAACTTTGAAGAGACATTAGTAACGTAAATAAAACATAACCAGAGGAAACAAGACATCTAACAAAAAGAAAAGAGCACACTGGTTCAATGAACAGCTGGTCTCATAGATTTTAGTAATCCCATCAACCATGAATACTTAATTACATGATGAATGTTAGCTGAAATAATGTTCACTATGTGAAGGGTTTTAGACAGGTGAAAAGGATCCACCAATAAGAATGATATGACATTAAAAGAATACATGATAAAATCCACTAAACAAAGTTGAAATGCTGTCAAATATATTTCTAATATAATATATCATTACAAAATGATTCGAATGAATCTCGTCAATCGACTCATTCATTGTGAATAATGTTGATTATTTTTCAGACCATGGAAAGAATCTTTTTTTTTACGGTCAGTTCGATTGATCATGTAAGAAATATGTGTTCACAATAGAACATTTAGTAATTCCGCTTAAAATTATTCTTTAATAGATTTTCAAAAGCTAGAGTAATTAAAAATGTTAAGTCTTGACATAGGTATAAAGACATTGTTAAGTGATGATAAAAACTGTTCACAATTTTATTCTAGGATGATTTAATTCTCATGTTTTGTGATAAATTATGAAATAGACATCAGCATTAAAATTGTGATTATCAACGTTAATTTGATTAATCTAAGCAGTCATCTTGTTACAACCATAGTTCATGATATAGATAGACAGTTTGAACTGAACTATCTTCCCTTTGTTAGTAGTACAGAGGACTGAAATTGATCACGGTGCACACTGTACCATGAGTAAATTTCCTGTCTATTATTGTCTGTTATAAGAACTCTTAAGAGGAGTGGAATAACGGCTAGCAGTGACATCGAAGCTGAGTGATTTTTCTCATTTGAGTATCATCAACCGGTTTCCACTGATAGTCATACTCTAACTCTGATTATAAAGTAAAATAATTTGAAATAAATCACGATGTCCAATGTAGAAACATCAAATAAAGCCATTAAATGGATTAGTTTTCTCTCTTTTCTCCCGTCGTTTTAGTTGAAGCCAAAATGTTCATGTTACATACTAAATTGCATAATCAGAATAAAAGGTATATATAACAGTAAACCGCTGTAACAGGAAACTCAGAAGAGAGCTTCTTCCAAAAATGTGTATGAAAAGAAAATCATAAAGGTTTCTGCCAATTAGAAAAAAAGCATACCTGTGTGACTAATGTGAATGATCAGAGGTTGGTGAAAATTTATTAGGAGCTATGTATCAAGAATAGATATCATTCAGTGTAAACGAAGTTACCAAAGTGAATGAACCAAGAACTTAAAGCTAAATTTAAAATAGGATTTACTAGAAGCTGAGATCCCGAAGAAACAACAGAAATAGATACAAAGCTACTGTGATCAAAGTAGCTGTTATGCTTGTCACATGATATGCTTGAAATTATTACGAGTTCACCTAAGACGAATAACGAGAACGAGACAATGACCCGGTAGGGTACTCTGATTTGTTGCCCCAACGAACTGAAGGAAATGTTTTGATATGGTGTAGAAAGTGTATTCAACAAGCAACCCGAATATCTAATGATCTCAAGCACACAAATCGCTTTTATTTATACATCATAAAAACGTCCTTGGGAGAATCACAAAAATAGCTTTCTAAAATAACACATCTACCAATTACAGACAAGGAATTTCCTGACAGGAAATGTGATCTCAAGGTCAGCTGATCAGCCTATGAATAAAATCCAAAATTAAGACATGTATCAACCGAGTTCTGGGGGTCTAACGTGCCTAAAAGTCTACACAATAAGAGTACAAATGGATAAAATTAAAATTTCGTCCTGGTTACAGGATAAATCCTGTTACAATATTTGAGTATTAGAAATCGGTGTTAGTTATTTTATAACTAATTGTAGTTATGTCATAACTAACCAATCAGATTGTGCGCCCACCACGTGATCTGATCTGACGTGTCTGTAAACCTTATTTGTTGTAAATGACCTACAAATTGATTGGCATTATTATCTTATGATTATTGATGTGGCTCACAACTTTACTCATTTCCATAAGACATGCCATACTGGTCGGTACGTTTGCTCGTCTTACTTGATAATTGTAATTTCCTTATTTACTGTACTAATTTAATTGTTTTTATGTTTAGAAACAGATAAAGTTTAAAGCAAAGTTGATCGTGTTTTAACTGTAGCTTTCCCATAGACTCTGTGCTCGCCAATATTGCGTTTACCGTTCTAGAATTACATCTGTAGGACAAATTAATTCCTACAATCGGTGAATATTACTTCAATTACTTATAAATTTCAAGTACCACGATCTTACACAACACAGTATTAAAGAAATAAAAAGATTGGAAGAAAACAAGTTTAACAATTTGACTAGTCTAGAGAATATGAAAACAAGGTAAATAAACTACTGAGATCACTAAAATTGGCATCTTTTGCTAATTAGCTACTAGTGGTGTAAATGGTAAAAAAAAGTTTTATGTAAGTGTAGATTTATGGGTGGTTAGGAATCTAACCACTAGTACAAGTTTGTTATAAAACAGTTGAAGTATTATACAACAAACAAATGACAGACTACCGAAAATTTCAAACTGTTCATTATTTCTTTTCGAATTCATAGGCGCCAGGTTTAAGTCGCTTGGTATTAGTTGACTCATAAAAATGTCAACAAAATTACATCTATTTATTTCGTAAGTAATTTAAACAAATCTGTAATGTTGGTAGTGCATCTAGTATAAATTATACGTTGAGCAATTTTACAATGCTATTTCGTTTATTTCTTTCTATAAAAAGTACGTACTATTATTATTTGGTCAAATAGATGAATTTCACGACTAGTCACATGCTATCCATTCTCTAAATGATATTTATTAGATAATTTTGTGAAAACCAATGAAACATATAATTATAAAAAATGTATTTTCTCATTTTGTGTGGCAATCAACAAGTAATTTATGCATATTGCTACTTTTCACCAATGTAAAAAGTGTTGTATATTTTTGAAGATTTACATATTTAAATATTCGAAACAGGATTGTTTTGAGAATAAAAAAATAAGTAATTTATATCATTGACTATAAAATACTGACTAAGATCAATAAAACTTGTAGTTCATAAAAACAGACAGATGACTATGATTCGTTTCGTGTCATAAAGCAAAAAATGCTTAATGATTTAATTAATTGTCTAAATTATTCAGTCTTGACATTCAGGGAATGATTGTAACTGAAAGTAAATAGTCTTTAAAATGAGCAAACTTTAACAAATTCACATATATTAAGATTGGTCTCGTACTTTAGGGAAAGTCAGATAAAACATGGTAACTGACATTAATATTTAAAATAGTAATCTTAAACCATCAACCAGAACGGCTGTGAAAAGTAAAGTGATCACTGTAATTGAAGAACATCGAAACAGGTGGGTAGAGCACGTCAATGAGCTCTTGAATCGACCAGCCCAACTGAACCCACCCAACATTGAAGCAGCACCCTCGGATCTCCCAATGAATATAGGCCCATCAGCAATTGAAGAGATCAGCATGGTAATTAGACAAATCAAGAGCATCAAAGCATCAGGACCAGAAAACATTCCAACTGAGGCAATGAAGCAGACGTTGCAGTAGCTGCGAAGATACTCTACATCTCCTTTAGCAAGATTTGGGGTGAAGAACAAATGCCAGAAGATTGGAAAGAAGGATATCTGATAAAGAAACCATGGCAAGGAGATTTCAGCAAGCCTGAGCACTACAGAGGCATCTCTC